CTCATCAGTAAATAGACGAATACATGCAACTAGAGCAGTTCCTTTCTAGTTGTGATTCTTAACATTTCTCGGAATTTACGCAAATCACCTTTGTGTGAGCTTATAGATATTTTTAGTATTAATATCGCAGCATGTTTGTACGTTTTCACATTCTCAGTATAGTTCTAGAATAACCTTACGTTGTATCTACGATATTGCCTTTAATTGGTGAACCATCATATAATAAGAGGTTTAAATCCGGAATTTGCAAAATTTGCAAGTATATCCAACACTATGGCCCAGTATATGTTGTCTTTCACCAAAATACCACGCATTTTATACGATGGTTTCGCATACAATACGTTCCTTCTTACTTGCTCACTTGGACAATCGTGCACGCAATCTTTTGAGAATAGTCCTCGCAAGTAATGTTTACGCCACAGCCTTCTAAAAACTAATGTTTCCTTGCAAAACTAAGGGTAATTTGCTTGACTTTTTTTTGGAAGGAGCTATTAATTACTGAATGAATCACTTTATAGTGCTAAATTGCGAATGTGACTAAATCCAAGAAGATTATTTGACGCAAAGATTTCATAACTCCCAAGCAGTTGCAAGTTGACGGAAATACATCTCTGATGTTTTGTCGTCGCCATGTTTATCAATATCATGCTTTTGTGGTCGTAGAGGTCTGATGCATATATTAATTGGAAATGTTCCAGTTTTTAACAGAGTATATAAAAGTAGTGCCAGAATTGACCTGCAAGTATATCATGCATTGCGATAGTATTCAAGCTAACATATGCTTACGTTGCCATAAGGAGATCATATGCAGCGTAGCAAATTTGGCCCTCTGCACTTCTTGGCGAAAAATAGACATATGAGAGAAGAACCAGGCTACATGGGGCGATTAACCATATACTGTACACTATAGATGTATACATTATAATCTAAAATTAAACCGGAGGTATCTTTTGTTTCTTATAAACCAACATTGATGTTACCTTCATAACTCTTAAGTTCTCGGCAAGTTGGAATCGCGCGCTCAGCAAATAGTGTGTACATTGAGGAGCAGTGAGTAGCAGCACTTGCCTCTTGTCACGTTGATACAAAAGGATATACACACTTGGACAGATCGTGTATAATATAAGAGCTACTACAGATAACGCATATACAGTCAGTAGACCTGAAACAAAGTGATATGAAGATTTGACTCTGAATAGAGAAACGACAAAATTCCTCAAACAATTACGAATAAGCTTTACTGAGATTAACCTTATTAAGATATAGAAAGAGTAACAAACCGAAAATCATGGGAATGACGAAAATAGCTGTAATCACAGAAGAAAGTGTGAGCACTAGAAGTGCAACCCATTTTCGCGCTTTCGTTTCGTAGTCAATTATAAAGTGAGAAGCATAATATCGCTCAAGCAATACAGCGACAAACACAGACACTGAACTGCATCTACCCCAAGCGGTTACGAACGAAGCAGCAACGAGCCCAGGATTGGATCTGATATCCCCTAAAAACTAAGACAGATTACAGGGCCACGCCTTGGATTGGAAAAATTACCTTCAGTGTGTAGAATATCAATTATGTACAGCACCATAAATATACGAGCAATTAGCGACATATAAAAGCTGCAGAAGTGATACTTAAAAAAACATATAAAGCGATAAATGTTTTGGATGGTCAAACACGATAAATAGTCAGCTGCATGATTCTGCTGTCCCTTTCTTTCTTAAAAGGCAGGGAAATGTACTGTTATCCTAGTTAATTTTGCAGCATAAAGCCTTGCAAAATTCAGCATATATATATGACCAGCAATTTTAACAGTGAAGTCCATCTGAATCTGTTTAACTCTGTTTTCTCTTTGAGCTATGCGTTGACGTAAACGACGAGAAAAGGCATCATTGGTGCCGCACAAATACACATTATCAACTGCATATCTTCGCAATCGACCTCCAGCAACTCTAGACTATCATCGTGCCAAATGCATTCACCTCCAAAACAAATAGGGAAC